CTAGGGACAGTCCATTAGCTTCACATCAGGAATTATGAATTTTGGTACCTCTTACCCACAAGTCTTCCTAGCAACAGATAGATAATGGGTTACTTATTTCCACAGCATCCTCCCATTCATTGGTAAAGGTGGCTATAGAGGACAAGGTATGATATTTCAATGAAGTGATAATTGATTTATGCCTTGTACCCAGTGATCTCTTTCCCAAGTCTTAAGACTTTGGTAATACTAAAAATATTTCTTGCTGGAAGAAACTTTCTGTTGCTAACTCTCAATCAGATTTGTTATTGTTTTTCATTTTGCTACAATGCCTAAATGCTTTCTCAAAAGGTTTAGTAAGGGCCAGGATTTTATTCAGCAAATAAAGTGATGCCCCCCACCCCCAAGATGTTAAGAATTATGGTTTCTACATCAGGCTGTATGGTTCAACCAATACAACTTTGGATGCAGAAGCGACCTCACATGCTGATTACTTTTCAGACATGTCAGCCTGTGTTGACAATTGCCCATCATCATTTTTTGTTAACAGCGGTAAAAATTTCTTGGTATGTCAGTGGAGTTTCTCCAACGTTGCAAGAATGTTGCTCTGGACACATCCAAGGTCTTATTAGAGCACAGTAAGAACCTTCTGAGGATTGTTCTCCTAGAAGCATAAACTACATTTGGGGGTGGGGTGGGGACTCAACCCCTCCTTGGCTCCTCAGTATATGCATGGCTGATTTTCTTTGGTTCCTTTTTTAAGAGAAAAAATTTTGTTCAGTTTTTAATATCAATGGATGTAGTGCAGCCTTATTCAGCATACTTTTCCAGTGGGCTCAGCAATTGGGACAAACTCACTCAGCTGACCTATTAAAGCATTTTGAGCTGCCAGTGTTTTGCTCTCTAAATGTACATCTCTCATGCATATTTCTGTTTCTAAGTAAAACTCCTTGCTATCCATTGGGTGAAGCATCCTTTGAGAACTTTACCCATGTGCCTGTTTCTTTTCTCTCTTATAGCATCTTTGCAATGAAGGAGCAAGCTTCATGGCCTATCCTTAGTGCCTGGCTATATGATTTTCAATGGAATTATGGGTTGGCTTCTCTCCTTTACTAACCAGGTGTTCAATTGATTGCTCCAGATCCCCAGTTTCATTTGTATCTAGGGATGAACCAGTTAGATTTTTGTGTCCAGTTAGAGATTTATGCTTTTATTTGGCAGCTTCTAAAGAGCAAAGAGAGGGTAAGAAATATCTTTTCTTCCCACATAAGGGTTTGGCTGGTCTTTTAACTTCCACCATATCTTGGTTGATTACATTTCCTGCCAGTAGAGCTTATAGACCCATCCTGAGAGGAATGTTTCATTGAAGAAATTATGCTTGTGAGGTTCAAGCCATTGCTATTCCTGGGCCTGTCAAACTCATTGGTGTCTGGATATTGGTGACCTCTGATACCACCTCATCATTTGCCTTTGATCATGGGCTTAGCAAAGTCAAGGTATATTTTCCTTGGGTCTGATTGGCAAAAAGGGAACCATGTGGATACCATCTGGCAGTAGTCTTGGTCAGTTGTGGAATCATCAGGTAACTGATAAATTTTAGCCATACAATTAAGCAGCAGGTTTGGCATTACTGATACCAAAATGTAGGGGGAGGGGTTGGGGAGGGTAAAGCTAATTTTTATGATGTAATACTTACATGTTGCTATTGCTAGATTCCCCTCCCCGGTTCCATACTAATGTCCCATTAGATTAGGTACAATCCTAAGTAGAATGAAGGACAGTGTGCATGGGTAAGGTATCTGGGTTGCATGAAAGGGTGATCTCATGTTCTAGAATCTTCTGGTTTACTTTTAATAGGAGGACAAATTCATGTCATATCATTGAGGTGTTTTCCTCAATGAAAAGTGCTATCTATACTGTTACAAAAATTAAGTATTACCTGATTAATAAATGTTTTTCATGTTGTCTTATAATATGTTGCTCATGTAGCCCTTTAAATTTTGTAAAAATATGAAATTGGTTGTTGCATGTGGATCATTTTAAAGTTTTAAAATTTTAATTATAATTTTAGCATAAAATGGCTATTTCAAAGCCAAATATGACATCATGAGCATATATGCATGACATCACATTGAAATTTTTTTGAATGTTAATTGTAGTTTTTTACATTTTTCAAATGCTGATCACTTTTTGAAAATGGTACTTTTAGGTGAAATACTTTTTTGAAAATTTATAGGACCCTTTCAGAACTTACTCTTTTGGTATACTGCTATTTCTAAAATATATCCCATAATGCGTGGTTTCAGTAGTTGACATTAAAAAAATGATAAAAGGACAAAAGTAGTGAACTTACTATGGATTCTTGGAAAGTCCAGTAGAGTATCATTTCCTTGGAGTGACTGTTGTTTAGAAACTCAAGGGAAATGATAGATTTTGCCTGATGGGTCAGTTGAATGCAGAAAACCTTCAAGCTATCATGTAATTTTTTCAGACAGTTGCTGTTATCGTATGATTTAGTATCATAAGTATTAGGTCGATGAATAAGATATTTCCATCATGATGTTCTTTGTATTTGTTTCTTCATTCAGAACCCAGAAGCTGCTTTTGATTGGCTAAAGGAGAGAGATAACAACTTGAGTGGAAATTGGGATGATGGGATATGACTGAAAGGATAATCAGCTTTCCAAAAACAATATTCAGACATGTAATACATTATTCACCAGGTATCAGATGGTAAGAAAATATATAACTGTCTTTCATTTTTGTAATCATCATCGAAAACTGTCACTCTATTTTTCAGGCTTGCAATCTGGCCATACTATTACAGTCGATTTTTCTAGTATTTTGTCTTGTGTATGTTTTGCACCTTCAAATTCACATTTTCGATTATTGCTAGCTCTCCAGTAAATGAATAAATAAATGTATAAGAAAGGGTTTGTTTATGAATCAATGATAAATAAAGAGATAGGTGAATGTGTGTGTGGGGGTGGGCAAGTTGGGATGTGCTTTTTTATGGTCCATATGTGCCCATACCCACATGTAGGGGTTGAACAGTATCCAAGACTGAAGTCCCAGACACATAAAAAAACTTTTTATCAGACCTGTTTTTATTAAGGGCTCAAATCCACGGACTTTCCTAGAGGCCACAACTCTAGTATGACCATGTTAATCATTTGACATAAAAAATATGCCAGCTATTTTAGACAAGATATATCTGATGGAGTCAACACTTAATACAGTTTGCGCCTTCTCATTGAAGATGAAATTCTGGTTGGCTCCATTCCCTCCATTCACTTTTGGCTACAGTTATGAAGGGTAAAATCCACATTTAAACCAAATGTTCAGTCAGATAACCAATATTTACACACTTGATTGACAACGTTGCAAATGGGGATTGAATATTTTTAGATGACAGTTCCTGAGAAAAATAATAGGTTTGGGGACTCAAATGTCCAGGTATGTCTTGTTGTGTTACAAGTTGCAAAGTACTACCTCCTGCATTTTGTAATATTATAATTTAGATGATGACGATGAAATTAGAGATGAATTAAAAACATACAGAGCTCAATTGTTGACAGAAAAAGCTTGCAGAAATATATCATCTAGCATTAAATCTATGAAATTTAAGCATGAAAAGATAAATGATTGAGAATACAGTGACTTTAAAATATAGCACATGTAAAGGCTGCTTCCCTGCTGTGGATAATTCATGATCATTAATAGTGTCCCATACACAGAGCATACATTTATTAAGACTATGGAAGTTTCAGTAATATCACACTGCCTGCATCAGCAACTGATGTTGATCACATGACTTATCTTGTTCACGTGATGCGAGCCAACATTAGTTGCTGATGAAGGCAGTTAGATATCGCCATAAATTATGTAATCTTAAAATACTTATGTTCAAAGTATGGGAAATTACTGAATGACTAGCACAGGTAGATTATGAGTAGAGACTAAAGTTAAATGAAGGCACATGTTTTGAAAAAACAATTTCATTAATGCAGCTTTTTAATGGTAAATCTAATTTTTGAACATACTACAGAATTTCCTGGACCAATGAAGACTATATTTCCAGAGCATTTACAGTGATATTTCTAGATGGAGTAAAACTATATATATATATATATATATATATATATATATATATATATATATATATATATATATATATATATATATATAGAGAGAGAGAGAGAGAGAGAGAGAGAGAGAGAGATATATAATCATTGTCTTTTTATCTATCTTCTCGATCAGTAATGAGCAGCCATTACAATTACAACTTAATCATGCTTTTTGAAAATATTATTATTATTATTATCATTATTATTGTTGTTGTTGTTGTTGTTATTGTTGTTATTGGTGCCCTTGTGCCCATTTAGTTCTATGGCAGAGGTACTTGAAATTTTTGTCTTGAATCCCAAATGATCAGCTGGGAGAAAACTTTATCCTTTTTAGGTGGTTGGGTGGATAGGTAGGTATGTAGAAGAAACGGATCAATTTATGTATGTATATGTTTACCCCTGTGTATGGATGAATTTATCTATTGCATGTATGCAGTGTTTCTTAAAGACAAGCTATTGCACTTCTAAATGCATGGAATCCCCTCCTCCCAAAAAGCCTAGTGTGCATGCCAAAATCATGCACAGATGATTTGCCAAGAGGTACTGAAACTTGTACCCTTCATTATCTTTAAAAGCTCAATTTGATAATTTAAGTGCTTGATTTTCACTGAGTGTTTATAGGGCAAGAATGTGCAGATAGAGGTCTGTGTGTGTGTGTGTGTGTTTGTGTGTGTGTGTGTGTGATTTGGTTTTTTAATGTGGCTTTAACAATTTTTCAGTCATATCACTACAAAGTCTTCAGTGTGGCAGTTTATAGTAATGTCTAGTACTGGGGCATAATGCTGCAGACAAGTAACATCATGTTCCACCCAGTCTGACCAGTCCTAACACTAACCTCTTAATGCTGAGAGCCAAGTGAAGTAGCTTCCAGTACCATTTTTTAAGTCTTAGATATGACTTGGCCAGGATTTGAACACATGACCTCCTGTTTCTGAGGCAGATGCTCTAACCACTGAAGCTACCAAAATGGTCTGCAAATAGAATGAGAATTTTTCACTGAGTATCTTGTTGCTGAGAATATTTACCAACTGCACTTTATTTAATAGTTAGTGCTGATAAAAATTGGTTGCTCTGTTAATTACACAACATTACATATCAGGTTCATAATATGATTTTTTTAAACTACATAATTTATGTTAATAAAAAGTCTTTGCATAAATTTTGATTAGTGACATTCAAAGAAATTACATTGTTTCCGATTTTGTAAAACATGCACATTTAGACAGCCTTTCTGTCTGGCATACAGATTGACCAGCTGTACTGTCCTCACATGCAGATAATCTGTACATACAATACTTGATCCCACATTGTAAGCACAGAATTTAGTGGAGCATGTTGTACTTGATTGTAAAAGAAGTTTATATTAAGGATCTCAAATGTGTAATGATTATACAATTAGTAAAATATGCAAATTATTCATTAATTTTCATAAATTTGCTATTATTACCCATTTGAGGTTATCTTTATCATGTAATTTTTATTTAGAGTTGAAAGAAAGAAAATAACACATCTTTAGGGGGGCATTTCATTCTGACTCATATCCTACACCTTTTCATTTCTTGTAAGCGTAAAAATAGTTCCAGATATAACTTGTATTAAACTATTTGATTACAAGGAATGTTTAAGTGTAAAAAGAGTCCCAGATACGAGTTGTATTAAACAGTTTGATTACAAGTAATGTTTAAGTGTAAAAATAGTCCCAGATATGACTTGTATTAAAGTTTGATTACAAGTAATGTTTAAGTGTAAAAAGAGTCCCAGATATGAGTTGTATTAAACAATTTGATTACAAGTAATGTTTAAGTGTAAAAATAGTCCCAGATATGACTTGTATTAAACAGTTTGATTACAAGTAATGTTTAAGTGTAAAAATAGTCCCAGATATGACTTGTATCAAAGTTTGATTACAAGTAATGTTTAAGTGTAAAAATAGTCTCAGATATGAGTTGTATTAAACAGTTTGATTACAAGTAATGTTTAAGTGTAAAAATAGTCCCAGATACAAGTTGTATTAAACAGTTTGATGATAAGTAATGTTTAAGTGTAAAAATAGTCCCAGATATGACTTGTATTAAACAGTTTGATTACAAGTAATGTTATAGTGTAAAAATAGTCCCAAATACGAGTTGTATTAAACAATTTGATTACAAGTAATGTTTAGAAGTATACTCTTGAATAAACAACACTTAAAAGTGTAACTGTCTTTCTAATCGAATGAACATCTGTCATGAACATAATTTTTTAACATTGTTATTCATATATTTTCTTACATTGGTCAGGTCATTCATAGTGCCATGTTCATGAATTTGTATGTGGCTGTTTAGAACATTTCCACTGAAAATTTTTGACCATGGACATTTATCACAAATGCAGTATTAGATTTGGCAGAAGAAAACATTCCAATTGTTGGATATTTTCCTCCAGTTAGTATTACTGGATGCATAAACTGTGCTGGATGTAGAAGTGTGAGGAGATTTGCCAGTGCTGATTTGCATTAACTTGCCTGTTTCTGTGCAAATAACAGGCTTAGATGTACAGCCTATTGGCCTTCTCCTGCAACTTTTGTTTACTTAAATATGCACTAGTTTGACTAGTGAAAATTGACAGATTGTGAACACACAGGGAAATTCCATGGGTAGTTAATTAGTATGAGTTTATGAATTGAATTTTCAGAGAGGGAGACAGAGAAAGAGTGTGTGTGTGTGTGTTTGAAATGGGTAGAGACTAATTGCACTTGTAGATATCTATCTTTTATAGGTCCCATGGTTGTTATGTAACAAATTGATTTTATGTAACTAATCATGTTATCATCATTAAATAAATTGTTATTATTATTATTACTTTTATTTTTATTATTTTTATTATTATTATTATTATTATTATTATTATTATTATTATTATTATTATTATTATTATTATTATTACACAATAGAGATCTGACTGAATTTTTTGGACACATTTTTAAGAAAAATGATAATTTTTATTTCAACGCATATTTAAACATCAGAAAAACTGGATAAATGCTGATAGGTCTATATATAATGAATTTATCTATTATTGTGAATAACAATTTACATTGCATAAGCCTATATGTTTAAGTGTTTGACTGTGCTTGTACAAATTTTTATGAGTACCTAAATGTCAAATTACAAAACAATGTTGTATTATTATCCCCATGTCAATTTAGATAGAGGGGATAATAGTGTATTTCCAGTTTGTGTGTGTTCATTATTTATTTGTTTATCCTCTCAATATTTTGTTACCTCCACAATATCTTGGACCTGATTTTTTAATTTGTATTTTTAAAATATTTGTGTGGATGTAGTATCTTAAGTTGTGTAACTCAACCATACCAAAACTAGGTCATTTTAACCTAAGGTGCTGTCTTCACTGACTTGGGCTCATTTCATCTGTTTATTGCATCCTCAATATCTTCAACTTTACTTCCCATAGACTCATGAAAATGAATATAAATATATCTGGATGAAAGTAAATCAAATGTACAGGAAAATAGGTCACTGAGAACTAATTTGCATACTTGAAGGGCTTTCATATATTTTTTTCTTCAACACTTGACTTCTATTCACATACATTCATGAACATGGGATTGTAGATAATCTAAATGAAAGTAACCCAATCACATAAAACTAAATCATTGTAAACTAATTTGCATGCTTGAGTAACCTTAGTTTTTCTACTGCTGTTCCTTCTTTACAACCTCTGTATCTTGGATCCAGTTCCATTTACACTTGTGAAAATTAGCCCATTAACATATGCTGATGAAGAGTAATGTAACCATAAAAAAACTAGGTCAGGCTCTTTTATTTTTAGTTCTCTGCTAATTATATCCTCAGTGTTATAGACCTGTCTAATTAACCTCCACTGGCTGCAGTATGGATCCATATTAAGTGTTCCTACTATATCAAATCATAGGTTAGTGTTATGTAACATTCAGACTTTAACAATTTTTGTTTTTCAGCTATCCATTTCTCTATTTCTTACCCTGTCTTGTTCTTGGACCCTATTTCACCTAAATCATGAAACATTGCACATGGAGGCATTTCAACAGAGCTCTAAATTGTGACTAAGTAGGTTGGTTTTGCAACTAAAATTCAGATTGTCAGGTACAAATTGTAAAGTGGTGACCTTTGGTGACCTTCAAAATCATAATGCAGCAACTAGAAAATGACAGATTCTGATATGGAGTATACTGTGGTTTACAGTCAAAACAGTCATGCTTAAGTCACCATCTCTACTAGTCTGGCCTGTAAGTAACTATTTTAATACTTGACCAGTGAAATGTAGTCATTTATAAGGAGAGTTCAACTGCAGGCTGAACAAAAACCAGATCTGCTGTCACATAATATGCTGGGAGATCTGGGTCTTTGCAGTTTGTTAGAAGTAATTGGTAGAACAAAAAACAGAGACAAGATCAAGAGCTTTATTGTTTGCAGTTTGACTAGACTTATAAGTTAGTACATACAGTAATGGTGCTGATCCAGAAAAATGCAGATATGGAAACTTGTATGGTGTTATATTTAATGTCATGTAAACAACCATAAATGGGTTAATTAAGCTTATTAAGAGAAATTTTCATTAGAAGAAAATACATATTAAGATGCTTTTTCAGCGGTTTTGAGGTCTCACAATATTTAGAGAGAAAATATAAGGAATTCCAAATAGTGAATTTGAATGTCTGGTTCTAGGTTGAAAGAGATAATAACTGCTGACAGTTCTCTGTGACCAATCTAGATATACTACTAAAAATGACATTTTATGTTTTAATTCACCTGTACAAATTTTGAGGGGAGTTCATTTACTACCCATTGGCATTAGCATCAGCATCAGTATATATATATATATATATATATATATATATATATATATATATATATATATATATATATAGAGAGAGAGAGAGAGAGAGAGAGAGAGAGAGAGAGAGAGAGAGAGAGAGAGAGAGAGAGAGAATGCTGCTTGACTGTGCTTTTTTTCTTTCAGACTCTCAAAATTATATTTATTATTTCAACCACAATCAATCTTATAATCGACTCTGATATCAGCTCTGAAACTGGGCAACTTAATCTTGAAATGATGCTTGTAACTGTTTACCAATATTAGCCCAATGTTTAGCCATTAAAATTTTACCAAAGGAGACATTTGATGAGCACATGGCAGTCTTAGCAAATCGAATCTTAGCATTTGATCAGCTAGTCTTACAACAACATGAATGGTATGTAGTGCAGTATTAGGTACGGCTAGTCGAGGAATACCACTGCTAAGAGACAAAAAAGCATGAAATGGGATGTTTTAAAGCATATTTAGTAGCTTTTAATGAAAATTTTTACATAATTTCATGGAAGGGGACATAATTTACACTGATATGTCTCTTGTCTGCAGCAATCATAAAAATTGTCAACAAAATGTTGTCTCCTTTTCTTGTTTTTGTTATTGTTACATTCTTTAAATTGCATTTTAATCGGATCAGTAGAGTAAATATTGTTCTGCAGTGACATTAGGCCATCATGTAGAGATACATACATGTAGAGGTGGGTACATATTGATATACAAAACTGAATAAAATGACTGGAATTTTTAGTGCAAATGACCTTTCCAAAACTGCCAGAATCACATTTGTTCTATGAGGCTGAATTCAATAGCATTATATTTTCTGTTAAGGCTTTATAGCTGCTTTATGCTAAATGTAAGTTAAGTTCTTCACTGGTTATCACATTTATGGGATCAATTACAGAAAAATATTATTGATCTTTTTATGATGCAATAGAATACAATAAGCTGATTGGCTCAATAAGTGTTTGACATCTAATAAAAGACACAAAATGTTGCACTTATTTAACAAACTTGCTTTTCTGTAATCTGTTGCACACTTTAATACAAATGCAAAGTTGGATTGCATTTGTTCCAATGTGGCTTGCTCCAGAATTCAATTCGTCCTGCCAGACATCGGTCTA